GCCATGAGGAGGCTCGCAGCACCCCCTCAGGGCACTGCTGCGGGGAAGCTCACAGCACACACCCCTTGCCCCGGACTCACCGTGATGATCTCCAGCACCTCGCTCTTGCTGATCTCGCCGTTGCGGTCGACGTCGAAGAGGGAGAAGGCCCACTCCAGCTTGAGGTTTGTCTTGCCGGAGGAGGTGAGGTGCAGGGCGATGATGTACTCCCGGAAGTCCAGCGTCCCATCGTCGTTGGTGTCGAAGCTGCGGAAGACGTGCCGGGCGTAGACCTTGGGGTCCGAGTTGGGGAAGAAGTTGGCGTAGATCTTCTCGAATTCGGCCCGGCTGATGCGCCCGTCCGGGCACTGCTTCTGGAAGCTCTCGTACCACTTGCACAGCTCGTCCTCCGAGTACTTGGTGTTGAGCTTCAGGTCCTCCAGAATCTCCTTGGACAGCGCCCCGCTTTTACTGTTCCCCATGGCGCCCCAAGCCTCCGCTCCGAGCCCCGGCCTAGCGCCCCTGATCCCCGGCCTAGCGCCCCTGATCCCCGGCCTAGCGCCCCGAGCCTCCGCTCCGAGCCCCGGCCTAGCGCCCCTGATCCCCGCCCTAGCGCCCCGATCCTCCGCCCTGATCCCCGGCCTAGCGCGATCCTCCGCCCTGATCCCCGTGCCTAGCGCCCCGATCCTCCGCTCAGTTCCCTGGCACTTGGAGGTTGATTCCTTGGCTCCGTCTCCTCTCTCCCGAGCCCTCGCGCTTCCCTGCTTATATAGACTCCCTGGGTAGGTGGGGAGGCGGGGGGGGGGGGCTCTGCTAGACACCCCCCCCCCCCCCGGACACACACACACGAGGCTATTTCAGGAGCGCTGATCACATTTTCGGCCAGGGGATGAGAAGCTCTTTAGCGCTATTAAAGGGAGATTGGCAGCTCTGAGCCACTTGGCGTATTGTCGGCCGCTGCCCTTGTGCGCCCACCTCCACGCCTGCTTCGCCTCCTCCCACAGCTGTTATCACTCCTCCAGCCCAGCTACCCCCAGCCAGCCCCTCTATCGACCCACCCCTAAACAAACCCCTCTGTCTACACCATCCACCACATCTATCTCCCCCCAGCCACCCCCTCTATCGACCCACCCCAAACAAACCCCTCTATCGCCCCCAACACCCCCTCTATCGACCCACCCCTAAACAAACCCCTCTATCTCCCCCCAGCCACCCCTCTATCAAACCACCCCTAAACAAACCCCTCTATCTGTCTACACCAGCCACCACATCTATCTCCCCCCCAGCCACCCCGTCTATCGACTCACCCCTAAACAAACCCCTCTATCTCCTCCAACACCCCATCTATCTATCTATCTATCTATCTATCTATCTATCGATCGATCTATCTATCTATCCCCAGCCACCCCATCTATCTATCTATCTATCT